AGCATGGGGAAATAGGTTTTACTTTGTGTAATGACCCATCCACTCCCAGTCTTTATTCAAGCCTAATTTAATGGTGTCCAGTTTGCAAATTAATTCCAATTCTGCAGTTTCTTGTTGGAGTCTGTTTTTAAAGTTTCTCTATGCAAAAGAATAAATGGACACAAATCAGACGTCAAGAATTATAACATTCAAAAACCAGTCGGAGAACACTTCAACCTCCCTGGTCACTCGATTACAGACCTCAAAGTTGCAATACTCCAACAAAAAAATCTTCATAAACAGACTCCAGCGAGAAACTGCAGAATTGGAATTAATTTGCAAACTGGACACCATTAAATTAGGCTTGAATAAAGACTGGGAGTGGATGGGTCATTACACAAAGTAAAACCTATTTCCCCATGCTGTTTTCCCCCTACTGTTACTCACACCTTCTTGTCAACTGTTGGACATGGGCCATCGTGATTATCAGTGCAAATTTTTTTTTCTCTTGCTGATAATCGCCCACCTTAACGGATTACTCTCGTTATAGTTAGTATGGCAGCACCCATTTTTTTCATGTCCTCTGTGTCTATATATCTTCCTACTGTATTTTCCACTGCATGTATCTGATGAAGTGGGTTTTAGTCCACGAAAGCTTAGGGAGGTGTTAGGTTCCAGGGAAAATTTTTTCACCATACAAAATTTTTTCACATATATATACGCGCACACACACACACTATAAGTTTTAAACAAACAAGTTAATAGTTTACATAGCAATGATGATTGTGAAGCTTGGTTGAGGTGGTGGAGTCAGAGGGTGAGACATTTCCCAGGGAATGCCTTGCTGCTAAATGATGAACTAGCACTCGGCTGAGCCCTCAAGGGTTAACACGTTGTTAATGTAGTCTCACACTCTATAAGGCAGCATGAATGGAGGGAGGAGACACAATAGACGCATGGCAGTAGCTGCAAATGTTCACTGCAGAAACTGAACGTGATGATGAAGCCACGCTATCCCACTGGAGTGCACCACTCCCTCCTACTTTCCAAAGTGTGGGGTGCATGTGTGTGTGTGAGCGAGAGAGAGATGCGCATTGCCCCTTTAAGTATGCTGACCCACTCTAAGTACACTGCCTTTTTAAGTAGATCAGCAAGTTGAGAGAGCAGCTGCTGCCAGCAAGCTCCCTTCATCCTGAGCCCTGTCTTGTCCCCCCCACCTCTGTGGAGATGGGGTACAGGAGTGGGGCAAGGGACACCCTGACATTAGCACCCCTCTTCCCCACCCCCTGCACAGCAAGCAGGAGGCTCCCAGGAGCAGCTCCAAGGCAGAGGGCTGGAGCAGCTCACAGCAGTGCGGGGAGGGACAGCTGAACTGCCCGGCAATTGATAGCCTGCTGGGTGGCTGCCGCACAGGGAACTTAGGGGAGGTAATGGGGGACTGCCGACCCACCCTGGTCCCAAGCCCCCACCAGCTAGCTCCAACGGGCTGCTCTTACTGCAAGCAGTGGACAAAGCAGTCGGCTGCCAAACAACGTTATAAGGGAGCATTGCGCAACTTTAAACAAGCATGTTCTCTAATAGATCAGTGATGTAACAATGAAACATTAACCGGGACGATGTTAAGTGAGGAGTTACTGTATGTCTACACTGCAATTAGACACCCGTGACTGGCCCGTGCCAGTGGACTAGGGTTTGCGGGGCTCAGGCTAAGGGTCTGTTTAACTGCGGTGTAGATGTTCGGGCTCGGGCTGCAGCCCAATCTCTGGGACTCTCCAACTCTCAGGGTCCTGCAGCCTAGCTCCAGCCTGAGCCCAGATGTCTACACCACAATTAAACAGACCCTTAGCTTGAGCCCGAGTCAGTGTGCATGGGCCAACCGTGGGTTTTAATTGCAGTGTAGACATACCCTGAGAGTCCAAGCAGCAAAAAGAACCTAGCTTCTTCGAGTGCTTGTTCATGTCAATTCCAATCAGGTGTGTGCGCGCCAGCCAGAAGACTTTTCCCTTAGAAGCATCCGTAGGGTTGGCCTGGGCGCCCCCTGGAGTCGTGCCTTCCTGATGCCCAATATAGGGCCCTGCCGACCCGCCACCCCCTTAGTTCTTTCTTACCGCCGGTGACGGCTAGCTGGAACAAACTGTTGTCTTGCTTTGCAAGCGCGTTTGGGCAGTGTCCACTCTTCATGTTTATAGCTTCTAGTGTTAGTTAGTTAATAGTTAATATTTGATAGTTCTAGTAGCACTTAAGTTTTCTTTTGGGGGTCCCCCCCAACAACGTTTCCCCGGTTCCGGGGTATGCCCCGGTCCCCAGGGTTCAAGTTCTATGAGGACTGTGGAAAGTTTATGCCTAAGAGCGACGCGCACTCTTCCTGTCTGCGGTGCCTCGGAGAGAGCCACCAGAAGGAGAAGTGCAGAATTTGCAAAGGATTCCACCCTATGACCTTGAAAGACCGAGATCAAAGACTCAAGATCCTTCTAATGGAGGCAGCACTCCGACCGCAATCCGACCCGGGGTCGGCAGAACCCACACCCAGCACCTCCTCGTCGGTGCGCAGTGCTCCAGCACCGACGGTGCATGAGCTGGTACCGAGGAAGGACTCCAGGGAGTCACTGCACTGCCATGGCTCCACCCATAGACGGTCTTCTGTCAGGCACCAGTCTCAGTCCCCGGTGCCCCAGAAAAAGAAAAGGCCGGAGAGG